AAAAGTCAACAACATTCAAATGATCTTCTGCATTCCTAGAGTGTTGTTCTCTGTAGTTGGTTGAAATTTTAATATAGCAGTCACAGAGTCTGGTGGCGCAGCAGACTAAAGCACTGTTATTAACATCAAGCTGTCTGCAATTACTGTAAATTCAAATCTCACCAGGCTCAAGGTTAACTCAGCCTTCCATCCTTTCTAAGGTAGGTAAAATGAGGACCCAGATTGTGGGGGCAATAAGCTGACTTTGTATAAATATACAAAAGTATGAAGGCTATTGCTTAATGCATTGTTAGCTGCCCTGAGTCTCCGGAGAAGGGCGGCATATAAATCAAATAAAAAAAAAAAAGAGTTGGATGAAGAGTATAATAACATAACTAATTTTAAAATTAGATAGTTTAAGATTAATAATTGTCTTAAACTGAATCTATATATTATTAAAATGCTCATGTCTGTAACCTGTAACCAGGTGAAATGGTGTATCATAGACCAAAACCTTTTAAACAAGATACCTGTATCTGAAATAGGCTAACATACAGAATGTGTACAAAATCCAGGATTCACAAATTTCATTGAATTGAAATTTGGCAAATTCTATGAAATAATTTAATAATTTAAATAATTTATTATTATTAAATAATTATTATTAAAAATTATCATAAAACATATTATTACATAATACAGAATACAACAATTTCCTGTGATCAACTGCTGATCTTTGACTGTGCTATACAGTTCAACATAGACTACTTTCAAGGCTGATTCATCTCTGAATATCTCCCTGAATTTTTAAAACTGTTCAAGGACATTAGATGCTCTGCCACTGTTGAAGGCTTTGAGGAATCTGGTAAGAAAATATCTCTGAAATGATGATTCAAGGGGTTATGGGTTGTCTAGTTTACCTTAAAGATGGATTCAGATGCCACGCATCAATAAACATTTAGATCATCTTGCCTCATTAGGTGCTAAGTTTGTCAAAGCTATGCAAATCTTCAGATCTAGTGACCAAAATGATATCTTTGACTCACTCTGAGCCACCTGCTAAAGACCAATGATTGAATACAGATTTATTCAGAATCTATTTACATGGAAGGCCATTATCATAAACAACGTCCAGGTCACCTGTTGGTATTTATTGACAAGCCTGACAGTAGGCTTCCTTCAGTTAAAAAAAATGATAGAATTGGTATATATCTCTAGTCTAATCAATGCCTTCTCTCCAGAACATTTTGCCCTTGCAAGACTTGCTTCTTCATTTTTCAAGGATGTATACAGGCGATCCTTGACTTATGACCACAATTGAGCTGAAAATTTGTGTTGCTAAGTGAGCTAGTAGTTAAGTGAGTTTTGCCCCATTTTTTACCTTTCTTGCCATAGTTGTAGTGATTCACTGCAGCTGTTAACTTAGTAACAGGTTAAGTGAATCTGGCTTCCTTATTGATTTTGCTTGTCAGAAGGTCACAAAAGGTGATCACATAACCCCAGGATACTGCAACCATCATACATATGAGTCAGTTGTCAAGTGTATGAATTTTGATCAAATCACAATGGGGATGCTGCAAAGGTTGTAAGTTTGAAAAACAGTCATAAATCACTTTTTTCAGTTGTAACTAAAGCTGTTGTAACTTCGAGTATCAATAAATGAATTGTTTGTAAGTTGAGGACTACCTATATTTCCAAATCACAAGAAGGAAACCACTATTCAATCAGAAAAACACTTGCTCATCAGAACATTGACTGAAGGACTTGGATTGACTCTCCACATTTTGACTCATTAGTTCAATTCTGTCAGATATATTTCTGATTGAAATAAAATTAAAGTGACTTAAATAGCAACAGCAATAGACGTATATACTGTTTCATAGTGCTTTACAGCACTCTCTAAATGGTTTACAGAGTCAGTATATTTCCCCCAACATCTGGATCCTCATTTTACCGATCTCGGAAGGATGGAAGGCTGAGTCAACCTTGATTTGGTTAGGATCAAATTCCTGACAGTAGGCAGAGTTAGCCTGCAATACTGCATTCTAACCACTGTGCTACCACAGCTCCTTAAATCAATACTGAATTCCATAATAAGAACTTCATAGTAACTATAAAGCATGGTGGTGGTAATGTCATGGTATGGGAATTCTTTAGTGCCTCAGGACCTGGATGGCTTGTTATCACTGAAGAAAGAATGTTCTGCTTTTTATCAGAGAATTCTATGGGAGACTCTTAGGCAGGGGTGAAATGTAAAATTTGTTACTACTGGTTCTGTGGGCATGGCTTGGTGGAGGGGGGGGTAATGTGACTGGGATGGGCGTGGCCAACTTTAAAAAAAAAAACTTTCCAAAGCATTTTTTCTAATGCTCGAAAAGCCTCTGCTGATCAGGCAACTCAGCTGAGATCGTCAGAGAGGCTTTACATCAGGCAACTCAGCTGGGATCGTCAGAGACTTTTCAAAGCATTTTTTTTTACCATCTCTTCGGCCAAGAGGTTGCAGAAAAAAATGCTTTGAAAAGCCTCTGACAATCCCAGCTGAGCCGCGCAATCATCAGAGGCTTTTTTTTTTACTTTTAAAAGCATTTTTTCGATGGAAGAGGTTGTAGAAAAAATGCTTTTAAAAGTAAAAAAAAAAAAAAGCCTCTGATAAGCATGTGGCTCAGCTGGGCATGGTGGGGGGTTCTCCGAACCACACGCTGCCATCGCTACTGGATCGGGCGATCCGGTCCGAACTGGGAGCCTTTCACCCCTGCTCTTAGGCCATTTATCTATTAAGTGAAGCTTAAGTGCTAGTGGGTGATGTAGCAAAAGAATGATTCCAAACATACAACCAAGTCTACATGATGAAGAAGTTCAAATCCAGTGTTTTGAATGGCTAAGTCCAAGTTCATAGAAATGTTGTCTCATGACCTGAAACAGTTTGTGCTAAAAGACCTTTGAATGTTACTGAGGAAAAGCAGCTCTGAATTCCTGTACGGCGATATGAGAGACTGATCACCATTTATAGGAAATGTATGATTTCAGTTATTGGAAATAAATTTACTGAATCTAAGAGGATGATTCTTCTTTCACGCTATAATCATGTGTTGGATGATTTTGTTTAAAAAATATATTAAGCAAGCACCAATGTTTGATGCTATTTTTTATTTATATTCCCTTTCTGTATTAGTGGGACCTGCTTTGCTAATATTCAGTGCAAAAAAACGCCAAAAAATTCTGACTCAAAAAAAGGCTAAATGCTTTCTAAGAACTGCGGTGCGCAGTGGTTAGAACGCAATACTGCAGGCTATTTCTGCTGACTGCCGGCTGCCTACAATTCGGCAGTTTGATCCTCAACGGCTCAAGGTTGACTCAGCCTTCCATCTTTCCGAGGCTGGTAAAATGAAGACCCAGATTGTTGGGGGCAATATGCTGACTCTGTAAAACTGCTTAGAGAGGGCTGTAAAGCACTGTGAAGCAGTATATAAGTCTAAGTGCTATTGCTATTGCTAGAGAACTATAAATTAACATTTCACATAAGTCATTTCTTTGTAGAACTTTCAACAAATTTATAGACTGTCCCTTAGGAAGAAAAGAAATATTTGAATAATTAAGCAGCTTTTTCACACAAACAGCACTTTAATAGGCCAGGGCAAGACATGAAGAAAAAATATTGTAACTCCACCTTGAGTCTGTTTGGTCAGAGGGGTCAAAATGAAACTATCAGGCTTTCAAGATTCTTTTATTATAACGGAGAGAAACAAAGAAGCATTCCTGTAATCTTTGCAACCTCAGTTTCCTGACCTGGCCTATCTCAAAAAGCTGAACAGTGTAAAATTAATCTGCTGAAGATGAATTCAGCTCCATTTTCTCCCAGAAACTTTGATTCAGCAATGCAACCATAAGCAGAAATTCTTGGTCTGAGCTGCAATAACACGATTTTCAACTAATTTACTAAATTAAATGGTGGAGGGGGCATTATCAAAAGGTAATTATTTCAGGATTACTTTTTATTTTAGTTACATCTTTTTTTTAACATGATGGAAATAGTTATATGTTTTAATTATTTTTATATGTAATTATTTTTTTTTAGATTACGTCGCTTGAAAATAACATAACAAATGGGTATTATGCCTGTTGACAGTGGTGGGAACACTAGCTGTTTCAAAGACAGTTGTCTTATGTCCTTGTTAACTGCTGTGTCTTTAATCATGTAGTGGAGGGCAACAGGCAGTGAGAAATCACTTGAACATGTTTTCTGGATCTAGCTCCATCTTTTGCCTACCTTTGGATTAGACCAGGGATACTTCCCTGCACTCCCCCCAAACATAGCAACTCATCAAGCCAGTTCCTTAAATGCTGCCAAGGTTACCACATTAATACAGGTCATTTCCACAAAGGTGACCTACAGCATCTCCCAGATACCCTTGAAATAATATAAACCTGCCCAACTTACTGTTGTTTTGGGACAGTGCTTACACCAAACTATTAGTTACTTTATTAGTTAACAGCCTCGCTGGGATGGGGAAAATGCAGCAGCCATTAAATAACTTTTAATGGCTACCTCACAGATTGACTTAAATGTCATTATTACTTTAAAAAAAAAAAAATTTCTCGTACAGTGTACAATAGAAATAACTCTCCCCTCCCCCTCCAATAATACACCTAAGGAGAGCTGAGACATCTTGCAAAATTCAGAAGACGCCCATTCAAAATAAAGGGATTTATTTTTCAGGAGCCCAACCTGAAAGCGGTCCTCATCCCCATCCGCCTTTCCGTGCCCTGCTATGTAACCCAAGCGGCGTGAAAATGACCGCTGCTCTTCCTCGCAACAGCGGGAGGGAAAGCGGGGCGCCTCAACTCCAAAGCGGCCTTTGGGCTCTCTCCGAAGAGAAACACCACCTCGCCTGACAGCATCTTACTTTCACGCTCCCGTCCTACGGCCGCCGCCGCCGCCGCCACGAGTAGGCCTCCCCGTCGACAGAACGGCGAGCCGAGCCACCGGTGCTACCTGACGAAAGGCCCGCGCTCAATTTTACCTGCTTCGGCCTCCCGCCGTCGCCGCCGCCGCGCGCGGTCCATGCCGAAGACGCTCCGAGGGCGCGGTGGCAGGTGGGCGGGCCGCGGTCGGGGAGGAAAAACGAGAAAGGCCGCCTCAGCCGTGTCAGTCCGCCGGGTCCGGAGAGGGGTACAGTATTGGTAGCGTCGGCGTCGGCAGCAGCAGCAGCGGGAAACGGGAAGAGACTGGAGACAAACGGCACGAAAAGCGCTCAGTTCCAGGCAAAAGCGAAAGGCTGGTTTGCCTTGGCCCACCTTTCCTTCGTCACCGCCCCTTCCCCAGTCGGTGCGAAGCGGGAGGGAACAGCTTTTCATTTATTGGGCTGCCTGGGGGGAGGGGGGGTAAGTGAGGGGGGGGGGGAATCATAGCAGAAGCGGGTCAGGTAGAGAATTGCCACATACCCCATTTTTAAGGGGTGGGGGTGGCAAAGTCAATTCGCGCATTTTGTGGCCAAGGACGGTGCTCGAACCCGGGAACTTGCCTTAGGGTGTCAAACCTGCAAGGGAGGGGAGTCAGAAAAGTCAAGATGGCGGCGAGAACCGTGCGATGGAAGCCCCGCCTTTTTTTGTTTGCTTGTAACTGAGGAACGTGAAAGATCGATCGTCATGGCAAAGATCTCTCTAAGGCAGTGTTTTTCAACCTTTGTAGCTTGAAGATGGGTGGACTTCAACTCCCAGAATCCCCCAGCCAGCAGCGCTCCTGAGAAGGAGGGGCTTATCCATCGCATGGTTTTCGCCGCCATTTTGACTTTTTGGACCCCCTGTCCTCCCCTCAGGCAGCCCGGTGACTTGACACTTAAAAATCTTGCTCATTGTTGCTTGTTATGTTACTGGTTTCTTATATTTAAATTTTACATTGATACAGAATATAATAGAAAACCTGTATGTTTCCTATTGTGGAATCATATAGGAATGATCCTATAGAATGTGAATCTTAAGGTTCTTTAGAAATTGAGCTGGAGATGGGGCAGAGAAGAGAAATTTATTTTGTTTGTTGTTTTAGTCTTATTTCTCAAAGAAAAATTATGTACATGTTGAACAGGTAATTAAAAGGTAATTAAACAGGTAATTAAAAGAGCCTTGGTACTACAGTGGTTTAAAGCACCCTGTTATTAACACAGCTGCCTGCAATTTACTGCTGGTTCGAATCTCTCCAAGGCTCAAGGTTGACTCAGCCTTCCATCCTTTCTAAGGTAGGTTAAATAAGGACCCAGTTTGTGGGGGCAATAAGCTGACTTTGTATAAAATATACAAAAGTATGAAGGCTATTGCTTAGCGCACTGTAAGCCACCCTGAGTCTCCGGAGAAGGGCGGCATATAAGTCAAATTAAAAAAAAAAATTAAATTACCAATTTAAAAAATACATTAAAAATAAGACACAGAAACACACACATACACACACATCTATCCTTACATAGGAAGGGAAAGGCAGAGGAGAAATCTGTTTGATATTGCTGGTATAAGAGATGAACTTCTAAAGGGGCATTGAAATTGGGGTACTAATACCTTCCTTTATTTTTATTCTTTCTGGAATGAAAATATATAAGTTGTCCAAAACCCCTAGATTGTTTTTAGTAAATCAGAATGACCTTTCCATCCTTTTTTCAATCACAGGCAACTGAATCTTATGGGTAGTGCTTTTAGATAGTGTCAGTGGGTAACAGCAATTAGCAATCTCAGAAAATTAAGCAGGGTTGAATCTGGTTAGTATAGTGTATGAAAAACTTCGCAAAAAATAAACATTGTAGACAAGACTGAAATTTTTTTTAAAAAAGATCCCAAAAAACACATTCGAAAAGTACTTCTATATCATTGGCAAGAAGACAACGTGGATGTGATTATGTTGTCTACCAGGAGTTGTCCCTCAGATTGACTGAACATCTCCAAAGACATCTACCTGGAGTTGCTTACATAAATTCAAGGGTTCACAGGTCCCTTCTTTCCAAAAAGGAGGCAGAATGCATCTCCCAGGATGACAGTTTGTGCTCTGCCAGCTTCCTATTTAATTATTTTTAATTTAAAATATCTTTAAAAAATCAGAAAGGACATGGAAGCAATGATGATGCTATTGATAGTACCATATAGCTTATTCAATTCACGGATTTTTTTCCAGGCATTCCCATTTACTAACTGATGCTTTTCCTAAATGGAAGATGAGATGTTAATCAATTAATAAAACAAGTGCTTAAATAAAATAGTACATTACTTAAGAATTGGCTGTCTGAACTGCTCTCAGTAAGTGGGAAATCTAGCTTCCCCTTATCAAGGAGCTCACAGTTAGAATGATAAAACTGATGTGTGTGTACTGCTTTCCGTTACCAATGCTCCTGATAAATCATATTACAGACTCTAAAATTATATGAGATAAATATTTTCATTTTGCAGTCTATCAATATAAGATGTAAGCCCTTCTGTGTCAGTGACGAGTTGTATCTTATTTGCAGAGCAATCCTTTGTGTATTTATCTTAAATTCCCTTTATATTCTATGGCAAGGCTTTTTCACTGTTCCACAGTTGATGGGATTCTCTGAGAGACTGAAGACAAAAAAAAACCAATTGTCTATCATTAGAGTTTTGTGTCTTGATTGGGGGTTCTGGGAGATTTTTTTTTTTTCTAACTAACTTGGAGAGCAGAAGAGAAATGCTGGACAATGTGGAAAAGAAAGTAGTGAGAAAATATCTAGCTGCTTTGGATTCAAGATGTCAGGACCAGGTGGATTACATGCCAGGGTGCTAAAGAAAATCAGCAGATGTGGTGTCAGAACCACTATGTATAAAAAGGGGAAAAAAGTAGACACGAGAAACTACAAACCAATCATCTTGAAATCAAGTTGAAAAAAAAGAATATCTAATAGTGGGTTGGCAAGCAGATAGAAAGGAACAAGGTGGTTACTAGAAGTCAGTATGGGTTTATTAAAAATAGATTGTGCCAGACTAGTCATACTGCTTTTTAAAACTAAGTGACTGAATCAAAAGAATACTGTAGCTGTTGTATAGCTAGAATGTAGTAAGCTAGTTGAGAAAGGTAGCCATAACTCCCTTTTGATAAAATGGAGCAATATGTGATGGAGGGTCACACCCAAATTCACAGTTTGGTTGAACAGCGATTCATGATCTTTGATGGATTTATTTATAAATGGAGTGAGGTATGCAGTGGGGCACTCAACAGTTTGTTCTGAGGCCAGTGCTCTTCAAATTTTTATAAATGATTTAGACAAAGGGATATGAGGTATGCTCAGCGAACCTGAAAATGACATAAAGCCATTGGAGGGGGATTGTTAACACCTTTGGAGACTGAATTAAGGTTCAGGAGGATCTTGATCAATTTGCATATTGGGTCTTTTCCAACAAAATGTGGTTCAGTGGCAAGAAATGTAGGAATCTGCCATTTGGTAGAAAAACTGTGTGTATAAGTACAAAAGGTGGTATGTGGCTCAACACTGGTCCCTGTGAAGAAGATCTGGGTGTCCTGATGGACCACAGATTAAGCACACTGCAGCTGCAAAAAGAACCAATGCAATTTTGTATTGCATTAACAGTGTTATAATGTGGAGAACACAGTTCCACTCTATGTTACACTGATCAGACCACACCTGGAATACTGCATCTAGTTTTGGTCATCATAATACACAAATGATGCTGAGGAAACAGTGCAAAGAAGAGCAATGAAGAGGCTGAAGGGTCAGGAGATTAAATCCTATGGAAAACAATGGAAAAAATCTCTAAAGAAGAGAAGGATAAGGAAGGTCTGATAAAAGTCTTCTAGTACATGAAAGAACTTTACAGGGAAGAGGATGTGGATTTACTCTCCATTGTAACCCAGGTTAAGACAAGAACCAAGCAGTAAGAGTGTAATGTTCTGACCATCAGAGCTTATTACTTGTTGAAATGGCTGATCTCCTGAGTTGTGAATACTCAATCATTGGAGGTTTTTAAGAAAGGTTGGACAGTCTGTCTGAGATAGTCTGAGAATTCCTGCCCTGGGCAGGAAATTGTACACAAAGACCTCCAAAGTCTCTTCCAACCCTGTGGCTCTATGATTCTAGGTCTATAGCCTATTTGGTGGGCTTTACTCTCAAGGACCAGACAAATAGCACTTACTCAAAAGTCCCATTGTGTTTCGAAGGATATATTCTCAAGTATATACAGAAGCAACTAACTATTATAAGAGATTAGCAATCAATAAATTTTACTGGTCCAACAAATCCTGTTGAATTGCCAAGTTCATTGACAACTGATCATCTGTGTAGCCTTTGCACACTCACATTCTTCAGTCATTCAGTTGCTTTCCACTATTATAACCTACTATTTCATCAGGATTGTCTATCAGTAATTGATTATTTTTATATCCTTGTAAACTTATTTTATCTTTAATGATAATGTCTGTTTTTCTTGTTTACTGTCAATCTCTTTTTTTTTAATTACCTTCCATTTTATTCCAGCATCAGGGTCTCTTCTATTAACTGTTATCTTTGTATTGGGTTCAACATATCTAAACTTAGTTTAGTTGTTAATGTTTCTAGTGAGCACCTATTTTATTCCATCTAATACGGAATGATTTGTTTTTATGCAGCCAAAGGCATTCTCAACTATTTAAAAGAATTCCTTTTTATTTGTTCAGCCTTTTTGATGTTCCACCTATCACAAATATATATTGCAATTGGGAACATCATATCCTTGGCATTAAGTATCTGTTGTGAATGTGATATCTCTGCAGATTAATATTTTATTCTAAATGTGTCATAGTCTTTCTCCCAAGCACAAGACCTCTCTTTATGTTATGACTACATTCTCAATCCCTGTGAATTTTTGAGTTTAGAAGGATAAAATCTTCTTCTATACATAGCTAGCAGTGCCTTTTTTAATTACAAAGCATTACACCAGGATTTAGCAACAAGAGATGAAATAAGCAGTGACATTGGGTGGTGGGCATATCAAAGGCGGGGGTCAAAATGACAAAAATAATGTAATGTCATCATGGTGGAAGCTTCATCCTTTTTGTACATACATATACACGACCCAAAATGATTGAACTGGCAGCAAATAAAGCAAAAATAAAGATCTTTTTGGAATTCCCATGCCTTCTCAATTGTCAATCTTAGGTGCCTTTGCTTCTTTTGAATCTGGCTTGTACAGTGTTCTCACTCCATCTTTTGCTGAAGTCTGCATTGTAAAATTTTGACCACTCTTAGTAGCATGTGAAATAACTGTGTGATTGTTTTAATTGTGCATTCCTTAACACTGCTTTGGAGTATTCAGATTAAAAGGTACCTTTTCCAGACTTTGGCCACTGCTGTATCTTCCATGCTTTATTTACAAACCACATGCAGCACTTTAATGGCTTTATCTTGTGAAATTTTAATCAGTTATGATGATATTTCATCAACTCCTGCAGCTTTGTTATCAGCAATATTTTCTAAGGCCATTTAATTTGCCTTTTCAGAATGTCAGGCTCAAACATATCATTGATTTTAGGATCTTTCTGGGG